GTGGGGACGTGGCCGCTCGTGCTCCGGGAACGCAGCGCATGGGGCGCGCCGGTCCCGGGCACGCGGCTATGGGGAGGGAGGGGCGCTGTCCCTGGGCACGCGGCAAAGCGGCCGTCAGTGCTCCAGGCGCGCGGCGCATGGGGGGCGCTGGCCCCTGGTGTGCGGCTATGGGGGGCGCCGGCCCCAGGCTCGTGGGGGGGTGGCCTATACCCGGCCCTGCCCCCTGGTGAGCAAGTATCCCCGCCCTCTGGTGCCCGGCAGGCGAACGGCCACACCCCCTGGCGCCCGGCGACGTCAAATGGTTGGGGACCACTGGTCTAGACAGTACTTGGTCCTGCCATGAGGGCAGGAGACTGGACTCGATGACTCTCGAGGTCCCTTCCAGTCCTAGGATTCAATGATGCTGTGACTGTACATTCAAATAGGTACAATTCTTGAATACATTTGCAATTCATTAAGTGAAAAAACTCTCCCATCTGCGTATTAAGCCATCACAAACTAGCTGATTACCCTAAACAAAGTAGAAGCGAGAGGAGAAATCTGATGGAGAGGGTAGTATGCCAATAAAATCCAGTTTAAGACAAGACAGTCCTTTGGAAATTAAGAATTGAATGCAGTTTCACTTCGCACTGCACCAATAAGACTATTTTTCCTTTTGCTGCCTGCAGTGCAGAGGACTACACCCAAGAGGTCTCAAACAAACAAGTTTTATTTCCCCTCATCCCGTACCTGTGGGAGGCAATCAGGACGGGATTCGAAGATCACCAGCAGGACTCCAATAGGCACAGTCACCTGCTCCAGCTCTAAGTCTTTTGCTATTCGTGTTTTGCGAATGACCCGGCCAACACTCTCCTGTGAGGATGCTGCAATCTGACGAAGTCCTATGGCCAAGCTATTCAGCTTGGATGTAGACAGACTCAGTCGTTTCATCAAAGGAAGTGCCAATCTCCCTGAAATAAGAGATGATTACATCAGTGGTTTTCAAACAACAGGTCATGACCTAGTACCGGGTCATGGAATGTCAGGCCCTGGTATCACTGCTGCAGGGCAATCAGGTGACAGTGGGGGTGCTAAGACAGCTTCCTGCATTTCTTGGCATAGGCTTGGCTCCTAGATGGGGGACAGAGTGCACAGGGCTCTGTGCACTGCCCCTGTCCTGAGCCCTAGCTCCACACTTACCTTGACTGGGAACCTGCTGCTAGCTGCTTTTGGGGCACAGCATGGTCTGCAGTACCAGAAGTGGCATAAAGCTGCTTAGCATTCCCACTGCACTCGTGACCAGGAGCTGCTCAAGGTAAGCCCCTCTGCCCCAGCCCTGACTTCCACCCAAAGCTGGAGCTCCCTCCTGCGCCCCAAAGCTCTCACACTCAGCCCCGCTCCAGAGCTCACTAGTCAAATGATGCTGAGTCACAGGCAACAATTTTCTTCAACTGGGTCATAAGAAAAAAAAAAAGTGTGAAAACCACTGGATTATATCATAAGAACGGCCATAATGGGTCAGACCCACAGTTTATCCAGCCCAGTATCCTGTCAGCCGACAGTGGCCAATACCAGATGTTCCAGAGGGAGGGAACACAACAAGGAATCCTCACATGATCCTACTTCTGTTATCCATTTCCAGAGAAACCGAGGCTAGGGACATCATTCCTACCAATCCTGACTAATAGCCATTGATGGGCCTAATCCCCATGAATCTAGCTAGCTCTTTTTTGAACCCTGTTAAGTCCTGGTCTTCACCACATCCTCTGGCAAGGAGTTCCACAGGTTGACTGTGCTGGATGAAGAAAAACTTCTGTTTGTTTTAAAACTGCTGCCTATTAATTTAATTTGGTGATCCTTAGTTCTTATATTATGGGAATAAGTAAATAACTTTTCCTTATTCACTTTTTCCACACAAATCATGATTTTATAGACCTCTATCATATCCCCCATTAGTGTACTCTTCTCTAAGGTGAAAAGCCCCAGTCTTTTTAATCTCTTTTCATATGGGCCCATTTCAAACCCCTCATCATTTTTGTTGCCCTTTTCTGAACCTTTTCCAGTGGTTAGGTATCTTTTTTTAAATGAGGCAACCACACTTGTACACAGTATTCTAGATGTGGGTGTACCATGGTTTTATATAGAGGAAATAAGGTATTTTCTGGTCTTATTCTCTATCCCCTTTTTAATTACTCCTAACATTGTATTTGCTTTTTAGACTGCCGCTGCACACTGAGTGGATGTTTTCAGAGAACTATCCACAATGACTCCAAGAGCTGACAGTAAACCTTAAAGAAACCTTATTAAAGGCATAGGAAGAATCCATCCTGATGCACAGTAAGAAAAACAAATACGGTAGGCCACCAGATTGGCTTACTGGGGAAATCCTTGATGAGCTTAAACACAAAAAGGAAGCTGACAAGAAGTGGAAACTTGGACAGATGACTAGGGAGGAGTATAAATATATTGCTCAAGAATGTAGGAGAGTTATCAGGAAGGTGAAAGCGCAATTGGAATTGCAGGCAAAAACCCCCTCTTGAGCAAGAGCCGTTCTGCCTGAAAATAAGTGGCAGAATGGCTCTTACACAAGAGGGGGTTTTTGCACAAGAAAGAGCAGAGTAGACTGCTCCTTCTTGCACAAAAGCCCCTCATACAAAAATGGCAGCTCATTAAATATGCAAATGAGGCACGGCACTATTCATCGTCACACCTCATTTGCATATGTTCTTGCACAAGAGAGCACAATGTAGATGTAGCCATAGAGTTAGGCTGTTGGGATAGTTAAAAAAGCTAAAGGTACATAAATCCATGGGTCCAGACTTATATCCAAGGGTACTGAGGGAGTTGACAAATGTCACTGAGGAGCCTTTGGCCATTATCTTTGAAAAGTCGTGGAGATTGCGAGAGATCCTAGATGATTGGAAAAAGGCAAATGTAGTGCCCATCTTTAAGAAAGGGAAGAAGGACGATCCAGGGAACTACAGCCCAGTCAGTCTTACCTCAGTCCCCCCCCAAAAAAAGAATCTACTTTGAAGCACTTGGAAGGGAGGAAAGTGATCAGTAATCAACATGGATTCACCAAGGGCAAGTCATGCTTGTGACCAACCTGATTGCCTTTTATGACAAGGTAACTGGCTCTGTGTTTATGGGGAAGACAGTGACGTGATATACCTTGACTTTAGCAAAGCTTTTGATACTGTTTTCCACAGTATTCTTTCTAGCAAATTAAAGATATATGCATTGGATAAATGGATTGTAATGTGGACAGAACATTGGCTAGATTCTCGGGCTCAGTGGGTAGTGATGAATGGCTCGATGTTTGGTTGGCAGTTGATATCAAGCGGATTATCACAAAGGTTGGTTCTAGGGACAATTTTGTTCAACAGCTTTATTAATGATGAGGGGATGGATTTAACTGGCTCTGTGGACATGGGAAAGTCAGTGGATGGGATAGACCTTGACTTTAGCAAAGCTTTTGATACGGTCTCCCACAATATTCTTGCCAGCAAGTTAAGGAAGTATGGATTGGATAAATAGACTAAGATTGATAGAAAGCTAGCTAGACTGTCAGGCCCAAAGGGTAATGATTAATGGCTCGATGTCAGGTTGGCAGTCGGTTTCTAGCGGAGTGCCCCAAGGATCGATTCTAGGGCCAGTTTTGTTCAACAGCTTTATTAATGATGAGGGGATGGATTTCACCCTCGGCAAGTTTGCGGATGACACTAAGCTAGGGGGAGAGGTAGATACGCTGGAGGGCAGGGATAGGGTCCAGAGTGACCTAGACAAATTGGAGGACTGGACCAAAAGATATCTGATGAGGTTCAACAAGCACAAGTGCAAAATCCTGCACTTGGGATGGAAGAATCCCAAGCACTGTTACACAGTGGATGAGAAGCTAGATATGAGTCAACACTGTGCCCTTGTAGCCAGAAAGCTAATATTCGGTTGCATTAGGAGGAGCATTGCCAGCAGATCTAGAGAAGTGATTATTCCCCTTTATTAAGCTCTGGTGAGGCCACACCTGGAGTATTGTGTACAGTTCTTGGCCCCCCACTATAGAAAGTATGTGGACGCATTGGAGAGGGTCCAGAGGAGGGTGACCAAATTGACTAGGGGGCTGGAGCACATGACCTATGAGGAGAGACTGAGGGATTTGGGTTTGTTTAGTCTGCAGAAGAGAAGAGTTGATAGCAGCCTTCAACCTACCTGAAGGGAGGTTCCAACGAGGATGGAGAGAGGCTGTTCTCAGTAGTGACGGATGGCAGAACAAGGAGCAATGGTCTCAAGTTATGGTGGGATATTAGGTCCAGGTTGGATATTAGGAAAAACTATTTCACTAGGAGGGTAGTGAAGCACTGGAATGGGTTACCTAGGAAAGTAGTGGAGTCTCCATCCCTAGAGGTGTTTAAGTCCCGGCTTGACAAAGCCCTGGCCGGGTTGATTTAGATGGGATTGGTCCTGCCTAGAGCAGGGGGCTGGACTTGATGACCTTCTGATGTCTCTTCCAGTTCTATGATTCTATGATAAGGGGATGGTTTGAGAACATGATCTTGGTAACTAATTGACCATTCATTATCAGTGGGAAATAGGTCAATGGAGGGATGATAGGAGTTACTATGGAGAACTTTCTGGGTGTCTGGCTGGTGAGTCTTGCCCACATGATCAGGGTTTAGCTGATCGCCATATTTGGGGTCAGGAAGGAATTTTCCTCCAGGGTAGATTGGCAGAGACCCTGGAGGTTTTTCGCCTTCCTCTGTAGCATTGGGCACAGATCACAGCTGAAGGACTCTCTGCATGTTGGGGCCTTCAAAGTATTGGAAGGCTTCAATATCTGAGACATAGGTGAGAGGATTATTCTAAGAGGGGTGGGCGAGATTCTGTGGCCTGCACGGTGCAGGGGGTCAGACTAGATGATCATAATGGTCCCTTCTGACCTTAAAGTCTATGAATGGGTTACTTAGGGAGGAGGTAGAATCTCCATCCCTAGAAGTTTTTAAGTCCTGACTTGACAAAGCCCTGGCTGGGATGATTTAG